TTGATGGTCTACGTACTCTCCTCGGTTGTTCTGTTGAATGAAGAGGAGGTAGAGCTTGCCGTAGTCGTCCGCTAGAGTGAAACGTTGTTCATCAATCTGGCACCACGCAACGAACACCGTGGCCTCCTCCAGCGGCTGTGTGTTCTGCACACGGTAGTTCCATTCATCAACATAGCTTATGCAGGTGTCTCCCACGACAAGCATGCCATACATCGGTGGTGGCAAGGGGATGAGAAAGGTTGCTCCTAGCTCTATATTACCGGTCACGTCTTTCGGGTGCCCGAGTTCAGCTTGGGAAGGCTCCTCCTGTGGCCTCAGGCTCGGCGTAAACTCCAGTTCTCTCACCTTAATTCGAGGACGGCTATTGCTATCCTCGTACAATATAGCAAGCTCGGGATTTGGTAATCTGCTTCCAGGGCTTCGTTTGTGGAGGAAGGCAGAACTTTTAACAAATAACTCGGGAATCCTGACTGGCACAGGGTCACCCAACTCTCCAATCTCGTTCTCCGCAGCTTTCCGCTTGCCCTTGCCTGCGTGTGCAATCGGCAAGACGTTGACGACGCCTTCATAGCACTCCAATGTCATGAAGCGATTTGTTGGATCGATGTGTGCCCTATCGCCTGTTTGTGAATCTCTGGCAGCCTTCTCTGCAATATCCACATAGCTCTTCTCCGTGCGCAACTGCTTCTGCTCGGGATCCCATGAAACAGTGAAGTAATGATAGCGATCAGTCCCGATGAAGAGATGATCTGTATGGCTGGTGGCAGGCCGGATCTTGTGCAGGATTGTGACTTTGCCGTACAGCGACTTCGAGTGCTGGCAGATGAGCTGGTCGGGGGCGTTGTTATTGGGAGACCAAATCTCAATCCGGTTGCCTTTAGCAACTATGAGGTCCTCACTGTCCGGCGTAAGGAAGGAGATCCGGATAGCGTGCCTGATTGATGAAGGGCGGTGGATTGGAGCTAGATATGCCATGATGATTGTCCCCGAAGATCCTTCTTGCCTTGAGATGAAGTGCTACAGTTCGTGTAGAACTGAATTCATCTACGATCTCCCATGTGGAAAGAGAACGGTGGAGAGATAGTGGTGGTTGTGTAATCAGAAGTCTAGATATCTGGGCAGGCTGCTACTATTGCGATTGATGCGATCTAACCTCAGGCAGACCAATAGTGACGCGGGGCAGGCACCAGCTACAGACGCGACAAATGCGAGGGACGCGTTCAAGTCCGCTTAAGTCCGACCAGCCGTAGAATTTCTGAAGCCAAAACGAGTGATGAGGGAAACTGTCTAAAGTGTCGTGACTGAACCTTAAGCTGAAGCATAGCCTGAAGCTGATTCGGCGACATGGCTCGTATGTATATCTATACGGACACGGATTGCAGGTGCGTTTATGACTGATGCATCCTTGACAGCGGCCAAGATCCAAGACGACGATCCAGTCACAGCCGAGTACGATGTCTACCTCACACCTGCCATTGCAGAGCAGATCTACCTGCTACAATATCCAAACAGAGACAAGGACAAGGCCTACAACCGAAGAGGAGCATCCTGCCCTGAGACAATGCGCATCAAGCAGAACACAGGACACTTAGAGATGGATGTAAACCTGATCACTGGCTCAAACTTCAACAAATACCAGTCGCTCAGATGGGCGGATGCACTGGGTTCGGCAAAGCTATTGCACAACAGCACAGCAACATTCGGCCTCTCAGCTGGGTTTGCCGCGCCGAAAGCCAGGCCGTCTGGAGGCCAAACAGGCAAAGGTGCGCTCAAAGACAAGGTGGATCGAGACTTGCAAATATCAAACGATCTTGCCGACTTCAAGAGGGTGGAGAGAGAACCAGGGATGGTCATGAGCAAGCAGACGCTTGGTGGGCAGATCATACGGAGTGGTGATGAGGGTGAGTTAGACAAACCAGTCTATTTCCTGGGAGCGTTCCAAGGCAGCCAGCTGCACCTCACAAGGGTAGATGGCACCGTACAGATGCGGCCACAATTCCATAATGTCGATGCGGAGGACCAGCGAAATCGCACTGCTGCAAGCAGAGCAGCTGCTATGACCGACCCAGAAATGGCGCCGAAAGCGCCCCAAGCAAGAGGTGTGCACCAGGCATTCAAAGGACCGAATGAAGAGACAAAGAGCAGGGAAGAAATCATGAGGGAGCAGCTGAGGGCGATTGAGGAGGAATCATGGACACAATTGGACTACGTAGATGAGGATGAGGACGAGGCATATGACGCTTTCAACAACACAATGTTCGTAAGAGATGTTGGAAGTGTGCCGCATTTGAAGAGCGCAATGACCGAGGACGAATACATAGACGCCATTTCTGCTCCCAGGCATGATCCAGGCGGGAAGAGGAGGAGGAGGCCGCCTAGGAAGAAGCATGCGGTGGATATTGATGAGGAGATCGAGGCAGAAGAGGCGGCGGCAGCGGCGGCAGCAGCAGCAGCAGAAGCAGAAGCAGAGGCAGAGGCAGAAGCAGAGGTAGAGGCGCAACAAGCAGTAGAAGCGGAATAGACATGGCGAGTTGGCATTGGTCGGTTGCTCAAAAAGCGACATTAAAGAATTCGACGATGCCTTTGGGAGACTGCCACACCCGTGATGAACCTCGAGCTGCAACTAGAGGACAACTTGTCATTGAACTGGGAAACCCCACTCGATCCAATGCCTTCATGCCTATGTGCACTGTATATCTGGCCGCAACTTATTAATGAGCCCTATCCACGCACAAACATACACGAAGCCTATGGTATATCTTGCTAGTATGATAGTCTTCGTGGCTGTCTGTAGGCATCGTCATGAGCCTGAGTCTTATCGCTGGACAATGTGGTCGCAGCATGCAAGAAGGCATGAATTCATACATCATTGACCGTGTGACTCGCAACCCGAAAAGCCCACTTACCAAACTTACCTACTTGCGTAGATACGCGCTTCGGTGCCGCGGTGCTTCCAGAACCACAATCACCCCCCGCACGCTATGCCGATAGGGCGTTGTCGGGCCTCCAAATTGATCAAGCCAAGAAAATGCCGTCGTCCCACTGGTCTCAGTCTTCACTAGATCTCTGTAGCTACACCGCATGTCTGGAGCTAGAGGGAAACAACCTTGGAAAACCAGGACCTTGAGAACCACTACTGCAAGGCGATATTGTCGACTACATTGATCGAAAAAGGAAAACGTCACACGACATCTCAGGTCGGCAGACTATGCACCTTTCCGGTCATGCGCAGGAGCTACATCCACATGTCTGCAAGGTAGAGTATCGGGAGATCTATCTGGGTAGTGGGATAGTAGTGCTCGTAATCGCAGTACAAAGAGATCATATCTCGTATCGTCTTATTGCTGCGGTCAGCATCGCGATCAGAGGGTGTTGTCGTCATGGCATCCCCTGACAATTGCCTATAAGCAACACGACACAAAATGACAGCGTCAAGAGTGCTCACAGCCAAGCTATGTACCTGCAGGATGACCACACCGCACTTCCATTCCGTCGTGTGCCGAGGCCATGGAGTGCCGTTGAGAGACGCACGAAAAGCGACCTTTAGTACCATATCACGCTCTGAATAAGCTGTGCAGGCAGCGAATCACAAGGTGAGATTTAACATGCACTACATCATGTTATTGGCTCGGCGTGGCTTGCATAGCATACTTAAGCTACAGTAGAAGGAATTGCTTGGTCACCGGGACACACTACCACTGGACGTGTGGGCTCTCAGTGTACTCTCGTGTGGTACGGACGGTATGTGGCCTGTCGCGCGTATCAAGTGACTGCATGTCACGCCATTTTATCAGGTAGGTTTGCAGGATTGACGCAAGGTCGCAGCTTATAGGTGAGGGCATACGCAGTAGCAAAGTAGTTATATAGGTCCGGTGTGTAGGCCTGACCAAGACTAATCTGTTTCCCTTTCGCTTGATCCCCATTACACGCAGCGGGCCCTCGAGTCACAAGTCCGTACTTGCAACTATCAGGCAAACACCTAAAGCAGGTCTGCGTTCGCCAATTTTTGCTGAACAGGCTCGACCTCTCAGTATACAGCAACATGACTGAACTGGTCCCCGTCGTCTTGCTGGCATATGCCGCGCTCTACATCCTGACGTGAGACGACAATGCAAGTCGTTTGTACAAATCCAATTTTGATGGACGGCGGTGCCTCGAAACCAGCAGCCTCGATGTGTTAGAACCGCCAAGCGACCTGGATACTTACACCGTGAATCGACCGAGTCAGCCAAGAAGCTGTCCTGGAACCCGCACACAACATCGAGGTGAAGAAATAAGCGCTTTCCGAATTGGTTGTTCGCCATCCCAATCGAGATGAGATTGGAATGAAGCGTCTCGGAAACCATTTCTTGGCGTTGCGAGCGGACTACAATCTGTCAGCAAACACTCAGGGCCTAACTTCTACACGCACGACGATTCTCCGCCCGAGACAGATCAAGCCACTTGCAATAGTATCAGTATGACAGGCAACCCGCTCCGAGACGTCTGCAAAGGGGGGTTTTGTGTCCCAGCAAGGTCGCATGACAGCCCCAGGGAATGGAATGGACAGCGACACAGTTTGCATCTCTTGTCTTCATGTATGGCAAGGCGATACTTGGTGTTGAAGCGACCAGTCAGCACGCTCAATCCCGTGCAACTTGGAGGTGTAGATAGGTCGATACATTGCATTAGAGAAACTAAATCAAATGAGATGAGATTTCTTTCAGGACAGTGATGAAATCATACCTGGAACATATCGGTAATAACGATGTACATACTCCCCTTCTGAGATTTGCGTTTGCTCTTGGACCGAACATGGCATGAGGAAGAGCAAATACAGAGAACATGATCGGGTAGACCTTGACATGAACGAAAAGCCCAACTTTCGACTGTACCTAGATACACGGGTATGTGCACGTCTAGCGATTCTTAGATTATCGCTGAGCATGATTGATTTTGGAGCAATATATTTTTGATACTGACTTCCGGGTTCCAATAGCTTATAACAACAGCTTCAGTTCGGTTGTATAGTGTAGCGGTCATCACATCGGATTCTGATTCTTCCAATCAGAAGTTTCCGGTAACCCCGGTTCGAATCCGGGTACGACCTCACCCATGCCAATTACTTTTTGCATTTGTCAGTCAAACACGACTTGGATTTTTTGATGCGGTTCGGATGTCATGTAGATGAAGAGCTAATCTAATATGTCTATTGGTCCCTTCACTCTCGATCTAATAACAGCTTTATACTACAAAATCGTTGGTGAAGTGTAAATTGGAGGCAAGATCCTATTCAACTATAGTCGGATAAGGGAGGCTCTTGGAAAATATCAAATATTATACAAAATATCAAATCAAGATTGCAGACGCAGAATGTGTATGTGATTTGTAACCAAGCATCCAAATACCATTGCGCCATAGAAAATGACATACCACATAACATCGTCTACGTTAAAATCGCATTCAAATGTCCTCGACTGCACAGTTAGGGTGGACAACATACATAATCTTATCCGCACCTTGCAAACCGACGTCACCGCTCTCGTCTGCCAAACCTTCTCCTCTGATTTGAAGCAGAGTGTTCTCTTTCACCATACGCTTGAGGACTTTCCTTGCGAGACCCCGTTGTTCCACCATTTGCTCGGGACTCTCTAGTGTGTCTTCGATAGACTCAAGGTAGCTGGTAAGCAGATCATCTTCCTCAACGCCATCTTCAGCGGCGTCCGCATCACCGCTAACACGCTCGAGAAGGATGTTGTGGATCCTCTTATAATCGTCATATTTGATCTGTGTCTTTGGCCTAGCAGGAGCAGGTGTAGCTGAGACTCCACGCTGTGACGGTGTACCTGTCTTGTCTACAGTGGGATCCTCAAGAGCTTCCATCTCAGCATCAAGCTCCGCGGTGCCGGCCTCAGCGTCAGCCATTGCTATGTCCCCTTCATCCTCAAACTCCACATCATCCTTCTCAACAGTAATGATGGATTGCTTGAGGAGTCTGAATGCTTCATCAACGAAAGCTGGGGTAACTTCGTCGACACAACTGGCTTTAGCAATGGCCTCGCTCAGTCTGATCAAAGATTCCAGTTGACGGACTGTAATACGATAGCTGTTCCGTCCTACCCCACCTTGAGCGTCGTCAGCACGAAGCTCTTTGTACTTCTCCACGAGATATTCCTTGGCTGGCTGGGTGAAAACAGGCTGGAACAGACGAGCGAATCTGATGTACCGTTGAAGTTGCTCGGTCGAAAACTCTGGCTCAATTGCCATATCCTTCAGCTGGTGAAGGCCGACAATGTGACGAGCGAGATGTTCATCAACAGCAGAGTTGGCGTCGTCGAGAACAACAAAGAACAAGTCGAAACGAGACATAATGGGTGCTGACATATTGATGTTGGCTCTGAGCGTACTCTTCCTGTTGTAGCGGCCGCCGACAGGATTTGCTGCCGCTAGAATGGATGTGCGCGCATTCAAGGTGGCTTGTATACCTGCTTTCGCGATGGAGATTGTCTGCTGCTCCATCGCTTCGTGGATGGCTACCTGGTCACTTATGTCCATCTTGTCGAATTCGTCGATCGCGCAGATGCCGTTGTCTGCTAGCATGAGGGCACCAGCCTCGATAGTGAACTCACCAGTCTCCTCATCCTTCACGACTGCAGCAGTCAAACCAGCTGCAGATGAAGCCTTGCCAGACGTGTAGACTGTTCGTGGCAAGAACGAGCTGATGTACTTCAGGAACTGCGATTTCGACGTGGATGGATCGCCAACAATGCAGATGTTAATGTCGCCACGCAACGCCATGCCTTCAGGAGTGACTTTGGAGACACCGCTGAGTAATTGTAGTAGAAGACCCTTCTTCACTACCGTATGGCCATAGATCGTAGGCGCGAGAGAATCTATCAGACGCATGAAGATGTTCGGCAGCTGCACCATTCTCCTCAGGTCATCGATCTCAGAAGGTGTCAAAGTGTCGAGGTAGTCTTGCTGCGCTTGTTCGCCGTTCGATTGATCGCTATCAATCATCTGATTGAGACTTGTAAGGATGTTGCCGGCCTGGCCGCGGAGATTCTGATTTGACGACGAGCTTCCTTGTGTCGAAGTGTCTGGTGTTACCATGTTTGCGAGGAACGCTAACCTGTAGGTCAAATCCCGCACACCAAGTGCTCGGAGACCCGAAACACCAGATCCACCGCCAGCATCCGACCCTCGTGGTGCGTTGGTATCCCTCATGGCCTGCACTTTTTGTCCAGGTACCCTGAATTGGCTGACGTCGGGTACCACAATCAGCGATCCCGTGAAGACACATTTTTCACCAGCCTTGGCTCTATCCACCATTTCTCCTCTCAGGATAACATCGAGAGTCCTAGGCATGGAGCCAGTGGGAATTTCGCTACTGTTTTCTTGGATTCGCACCTTCTGCCAGTCTATGAAAGTGCTTTGGGGAATGTCTAGACGCCAGCTAGTGCGGTTCATGCAGGTTGCGTTTGGGCATTGTGTAGGTTCGCTGTATTTAAAGATTTGCTCAACGTCAGGGATGACGTTATTGCACGCTTCACAGACGAACGTGGCGAGGTGCAACTCAGGTCTGACTTCAGAAGTCCTCGTGACTGTGCCGGAAATACTGACAAGGTGACCAATCTCTCTTGTGCGTAGCTGTCGAATGCGGGAGATCAGTGGCATGTTGTAGAACGCAAGTGCAAATATCTTATCTGTCTGCTGGTTCGGAGTGCGTTCGTTGATATTGTCATCCTCGCTCATGCTATTTCCAGCCAAACTCGTGTCTGTTCTATTTGTGGTGGATCCAGGCTGTCGGTGCTCCCTGTAGTACTGAGGCTCGTACTTTGCGATCAGATTGTTCAGCGCCCTGACAAGGTAGGGATGATATCTGTAGAAGTCCTCCTGGATTGCGCCTGCCAGTACATCTTCACCAGAGGTCATCAGATGGGTGAAGTCGATGTAGAGTGTACTAAGCTTGAATTGGCATAATCCGTGTATTTGCGCAATGTAGTATTTGTGTGTTGTCACTGCTGAGGACGCGGGAGCACCTGAGGAGGCAGGGTCCTCGATGAATCTACAGCACAAGTCAGCGTTGAAAGCCTCACCATGTGTCGATGATGCACTTGCTCTTCGAGAAAGGTCTGGAATTTGATACCCAGTGTCTCGGCAGTGCTGTCAACAACCCTCTGCACATTCTGGGGTTGACCTGCGGTCTGCTGTCTCCGCAAGCGACCTACAACCTCGTCATCCGCAAATGCCGGGCCGTCGATATCGCTATGCACTCCCGGAGTGCTAATGGACGGTGGTCCCCTTGGGCGTGAAGAAGAGCGAGCCAGCCGTCTCCTCCCTGTCACTGTTGCATCGCTGCGTGCTGCGTCGCTGCGAGGATCTTGAGACACTGTATTATCTGAATTGAGCGCTGCATCCACAATTGAAGACATGATTGTGGTGATCTGCAGTATAGGGTCTTGGTGTTGAGTGCGAATGTCGTGTTTACTTCTGTGAGTGTCACCGCAAACGCTCGAGATCTCCGTATCTGGGCAGAGCGAGGGGAAAACGCGTCCTGGCGCGTTTTCCTAGCGCGCGACAAGCGCGTGGGAGCGGAAGAGCTTGCATTAATAGCGGGATCACGCGAGATGCAGGGCCTACCTAGAAAAAAAGGTCCCGCGCTGCCCCTGGTGGGCGGGCGAGGCGAGGCGGCAAGGGTTCCTGCATATCATAATCGGACGATTTGTATACCGCCCTCAACTTCTGCGTGAAGAATTTCACTGTTCTGTTTTCTAAACTTCCTCCTACCAAGAACAGTTGATACACCAAATCTTGCAAACATGAGCGCAACCACGACAATCACCCAGACAAATGGTCGTGCATCCAATGCGGAAGAGATTCTGCGTTTGTTTCCAGATATCAACACTGCGCTAGCCTCAGCACACAACGAAGCCCACGCCTCCTCAGACTCGGACTTGCAGGGCTACGACGAAGAGCAGATCAGGCTGATGGATGAGGTCTGCATAGTGCTCGACAATGACGACAATCCCATAGGGTCTGCTTCGAAGAAAATCTGCCATCTTATGAGCAACATTGACAAGGGCCTACTTCACCGCGCTTTCTCCGTCTTCCTTTTCGACTCGCAAGATAGACTTTTATTGCAACAGCGCGCAAGTGAGAAGATCACCTTCCCTGACCTGTGGACTAATACCTGCTGCTCACACCCACTTGGTGTGCCCGGCGAGACTGGTGCAAACCTGGAGGCGGCTGTACTGGGTGTGAAGAGAGCAGCACAGAGGAAGTTGAGCCAGGAGTTGGGTATCAAGGCAGAGCACGTGCCTCTAGACAAGTTCGACTTCTTGACGAGGATACACTACAAGGCACCCTCAGACGGGAAGTGGGGCGAGCACGAGATTGACTACATCTTGTTCATCCAGGCAGACGTCGATCTTGAGCCAAATCTGAACGAGGTTCAAGCAACAATGTATGTGACCAAAGACCAGTTGAGCGACATGTTTGCAGACAAGACGGGCAAGTGGAGGTTCACGCCTTGGTTCAAGCTGATCTGCGAGAGTATGCTGTTCGAATGGTGGGAACACTTGGGCAAGGACTCCCTAAAGCCATACCTGAATGAGACACAATTGAGGAGGATGTAGTAGGGTCTGATGCATGTGACGATTGACGAACTGAGGAGAGCTGTTGGCTTGAGCTTACGGATTCTTACTGTGATACCATCTAGCATTTGACTGGAGACAACAATTTACTCGATACCTGTCAAAATATTGCATACATTTGCTCATGCATTCTCCTACACGAGATAGACACTCCATGTCACAGATACCCAATTGTGGACCAAGCTCGTACTTAGGTGTTAGAGACCAGTTGTTGGCGAGTAGTGATTTCGCACCTTCCACATCCAACTCCTTGGCTCAGGGTTGGTCCAGCCAACCATGAGGCTGTAGCGCACTGCCAGCAGTCTTACCAGAGAAAACTACAAGAAACACAGCAGGTCGTCTGTCAACATCAAGTCTACATTTCTTGAGATTCGGTCACTAGATTCGCTAGCTGGACGGAATTTGGAAAGCTCAGCTTGGCTTGATCAGACTCAACCTCACCGAAGTCTACGCC